CAAGGGCCTTGCAGGCCGTCATAAGGACTGTTTCCCCTGAGAGTCCTCATAAACTTCTATCTGAAGACTTCAATTTGGCTTGTTCTGAACTTGAGGAAAGGATGGCATCTCTTCCTCAGCTAGCAGCTGGGATAGAAAATTGGACATCAGGAGCTCGGCAATGGCTGCTTCCTTCCCACGAGGGCAGCCAGCTGGGCAGCAGGCTCCGCTCCCAGCACAGCGCGGTGGTACCGGCTCACCTGAGGATTCCCGCTTTGCACACGGGCTCTCCCAAGGCTCTCACCAGCCAGCAGCTCCTCAACGCCATCATGGGGGCTCCTGGGGATGGAGTCAACCTCTCACAGTGGTCCTGATGGTGGCATTTGGGGCACAGGGACAGACCAGCAGGAAGCTGTTAGAGAGGAGGAACTTCTTAGGATTCCGTCCAAACTGCCCAGGCCTTACTGAGGCCTGTCTCAAGAGCTGAGCTGTCATCGCTCAGAGAACGCTGCCAGGTAAGCCCCTCTGGCTGGCAGGTTTTGGTTATAATTCTTTCAATTGCAAGTCCCGAACCACAACTCCTAGTAGAAGAAGAAAAGGAGGAGAAAGAGAAGAGGGGGAAGAAGAAAACGAGATGAAGAAGAAAGGCAAAGGGGAAAGGATGAGAATACTGATCCACGTAACAGAGATGTCTTGTGGGGGAACTCTACTGGCTTCAGGAATAACTGGATCTAGGTGCTCAGTGTCATCGATTCTGCCCCTCTTCCCCACCCCTATTCCCAGTTCTGCTTTCCCCTGAATGGGCATCATTATAAAGTAGGCTTTCTTGAAAAATGGCCACTGGTAGGCCCAGACTTATTTTCTCATCAGCTTAGCCACCCCTGGCAATAAAAGAACCTCTTTTTACAACAATTTCATAACCCGCCCCCCCCACAGTGTTCTCATTGGCCTGGCCTGGGTCATAGGCCAGCTTGCTAGTCTGCGGTAGGGTCAGCTCCACCAAAACTATTGACTGAGAGTAGGGGTGGGGTGGTCCCCAAAGGACAACCAGAGTAGTGTTGCCAGAAAAGAGAATGGATTCTGGGCACACAAAACCTCTCAGATGTCCACTGCCACCAGAGTGACCACTTAATTCATTGTCCAAGCCAGGACTCTTTTGAGAGTGAAAGAGGGCACTTTGAATAAGTATACCAGGATAATATAGGCTTAGACCAAGCCTATCCCGGAAGAGTATCGGCCCTCTAACCGTAGCAGTCAGGAGCCGGGGAGGCAGGAGCCAGGGAGGCAGACGGACTGCCCCATTTGAGCCCTGGCTCCTGCACACTGAGTATCTCTGGATCTCTGGGCACAGGTGGGAGAAGGGCAGGTCTCAGGGTTCTGGTCTTGGGTAGGGTAGAAGGGGGCTAGATGGGGTGAAGACACATTGGGAGGCCAGTCTCACATCTCCACATCCACTCAAAGTTTGCTCTTCTCAACTGCCTCGCCTCAGCCTCCCAAGCCCTTGCTGTGTTCATGTTATGCCCCCTCTCCCATGCCAGGAATGCCCTTCCTATTCGCTGCTTACTCCATGACTGTTCTCCAGTCCTTCCCTCTCCCAGGGTCCCTTTATCTAACCCCCCACCCCAACCTCAGCCTTCTCACAGCTTCTGTAGCACAGGCTACACACTCAGCCTAGGCTGTGCTTGGGGCGTGGCTCCTGTCTCCACTGTGGGGTAGGGGGCTGTTGTGGGTATTACTCTCTCCCCATCCCCCTGCCACGTAGACCTCAGCAGTGCTGACTGAAGATTCTAGGCTGGATCCCTCTGCTGGCCCAAGACCCTCAGCTGTCTCTACCCCTCTAGTCCGGAGCCCTCGCCTTTCCCCACTGCCCCCTGCCTCTGCATTTCTGGTATCGATTGCTAGGGAATCCTGGCCAAAGAGCTTCTCACGCAAAGGCATGCATACTTTGACCCAGGTCAAGGTCCTCTAACCTCCTGCCTGTCTCCCTCTTTCTCTGCCAGGTGCTCCTGAGGGCTCCCTCTGTCTTGCAAGCTGTTTGCCGGGGCAGGGCCTGAGATGAGAAGTGCGATGTCTCCCATCACCCGAGTGCACCAGACCCTTGTCCAGGAGTATGGGAGCTTGGGGGGGCCTGACCCAGGAGCTGGGCCTGTCCATCTTTGGCCCTCTGGGGCTTTGCTGGCAGTCTGGGACAATAAATCTTGGTGGGACGAGCCCTGGCCTGGAAGCAAGAGGCTGTAGTTCTAGGCTCTGCTTTGCTTTGTCCTGTGTCCTTATGCCTTCTCCCTTTAGCATCAGTCTCTCCCGCTGAGAGGTGGGAAGGGAATTGCCTTGATTAGCTGATGAAAATCTTTGGGGTCTAGAGCTTGTTAGAGGGTGAGAGTGAAGCAATGCGTCCTTCACCAAGAGAAGGGATTTTCTGGGTTCCTGCCCAGGAGCCCCAGTGGTCTCTCAGCCCTGATGAGCAGGCTGCCATGATTCTCTAGAGCTAGGGCGCTGGTGGGGAGTCTGGGCAGCCCAGGGAGAAACTGGGCTCAGATCAGGATGAAGGATATGGGCAGGCCTTGCTCCCTGCTTTCTTGCCACGCTTCCACACGGGTTCTTTCTACTCTCTGTGGCTCTAGCTCCACCTGGGATTGAAGGACAGACGTCTCTTGGGTACCATGAAGCTGTCAGGTTGAGCCAGAGATGCAGAGGTGAAATGAAAGGAAGGACAGGGGACAGACGGAAGGCCCGGGACACCCCCTTGTCTCCTGCCCGTTCTGTTGCCTAAGTTCCACCACTACAGCATCAACAGTTTGGGCTCAACACCCTGGGCATGTGCCCTGTCCACAAAACAGCTGGATATAACTCCTTCACCAGTTATTGATATCTTACAAGGACTTGTTTTACCAGGTCAATTTCCCACAGGCTGTTTTTCTGTGGCAGGGCATGGCAGAAGGTGTGACAAGTTGGTCTGGGGTCACAGCAAGGGTCTAGTGTCCTGAGGATCTCCATGGAGAAGGGCTGGCAACATAGGCCAGGAGACACCTAACCTGCTGTGGAGACGTTTCGGGCAAACTTCCCAAAGGAAGTGATGTAGCTGAGACTTAACAGCAGGGCAGATTAGAGGTAGAGGTAGGCAGGCCTGGTGGGTTCTGCTAAAGATTCTGTTTCCATTCAGATGGGAGCTAGTGAGGAGCTAGTGAAGGGGCCAGGTGGTGACAGAAGGAGATTTTGCTTTTGAAAAGACCGCTCTGGCTGCCACAGATGAAGAAGGAATGAGAGGGAGGGAAAGACAAATGGGAGCCGGGTTTGGAGGCTGTTAGCGCTCTAGGGAGCTCTGACAGGGGTCTGGATGAGGACATGGCTGTGTGGTGGGACAGATGTCAGCATGGACGTCTCCATCTCACACAGAGGAAGCCCCGTGTCTCTTAACCAGGTGCTCTCTGCACTTGGTACAGGGCTGTCCTCCCGCCAGAAGCATCCCATCCTCTAGGGGCACGAAATTCCAGGAAAACTTTCCGGTGCACTTTTCCAATGCCCCTGGTACTGCTCCCTCCCTCTAAGCCACTGTGCAGGGCCTTTGAACTTGTTGTTCCCTCAGCCAGGTGAGCTCTTCTTCCAGATGTGCACCTTGACTCTTGATTCCACACTACTGCCTCCGGTTAGTGTCATTTTCACAGTGAAGCCTTTTTCCGCTACACTATTTTGAATTACAGTCTTCGCCCAAGTCATTCCTACCTGCTCTCTGCTTAATTTTCCTCTATAGCACTGCCCACCTTTTGACAGTCTCTGTGCATTATCTGTCTCGACGCCGCCGCACCGCGCCTGCCCCCCACCTCCAACCCCGGTAGGCTCCGCGGGAGCAGGAGCGTTCTCAGTTTTGTTCACTTCTTTACCAATAGCAGACACCCAGAACAGTACCTGGCACATCGAGGGCGTTTGACAAATATTTGTGACAATGTTCGAGATGGCATCTGACGGGAGAGGTGAGGGGTCTGCGTGAGGCTCTGTTTTCTGGCCTGGGCCGGCTGATGGTGGTGCCGTCCCTGGGTAAGGGAGCACGGCGGGGCCGGGGGCTGGTGTAGTTAGTTAGGGACAGGTTGAGCCAAACAACGAAAATATGGCTTTTTTTTCTCGGACACCCAACATGGGGGTGGGGGGTCTCGGCAGGGTGGGGACAGCGTTGGAGGCAGCCTGCCAAGGCTGTGCTGGGGCTGCGTGTCCAGCCACAGGCGTGGACCAAAAATACAGACACAAACAGTTCGCCCGCTTGCAGGCAAAAGCCCAGCTCCGCACGCAAACCTGGGCCCTTTGCACCGCCCGGTACCCGACCAATCGCGCACCCGGGAGGCTTAGGCGGCTGCCCTCCCCGTCCATTCCCACCCCGAGGCTGGAGCTTTAAGAGCCCCGCCCCCGATTCCCTTCCCCCCAGCGCTTTGCGTGACTGTGCCAGGACCCGACCTGGGCCAGGAGTTCGGCGGCCGGGTGGCTGCGTGGTCTCCGGGCGCTTCTCACGCAACCCCCGGGCACCGTGCCCCCGGCCAGGTTGGGCGGGGATGGGCTGCGTGACCTCTGCCCGCTGGAGGGATGTACCAGACACGTGCACGCTGGCCTGGGGAGGTCTGCGCCGGGTGCCCCCCTCCGCGGCCTGGACTGAGAGCCTCCCTGTAACCCTTTACTAGGCCACGGGGAGCTAGCCGCATAGCCCATTCACCGCCCGATTTCTCTAACCCCCCAAAGCAGCCGGGCTCAGGAAGGCCAGTGGGTCCCGGTTGGAGGTAGCCCGGTTTGCAGCACTCCGAAATGGCCTTAGTGGCGGCGCCGAGCCGCTAGTAGGCGCTCAACGAGACTGCGCTTTTTTTCATCCATTCCTGCCCATCAGTCAAGAGCGCAAACTTCTGCTAGTCGCCCGGGCTCTGCAGGCTTCCAGGGGCCTGGGACAGCCCTTCGGCGCCTCTGGCCTTCCGGCCCCAGTGACCTCGGGGCTGGGGTCGCAGCGCTTCTCACGCGAGCCGGACTCAGTAACTCCGGGAAGGAGGTCATCAGCCGGCAGCCCCGCCCCTGCCTGCCTGGTCCCCTTAGCTAGTCATGAGGGGGAGGCACTTGCAAGCCCAGTGTTCCGGTGGGTGCAAAAAGAAGAGTGAGGGGCCCCTGTGCCCAGGGATGGAGGCCCCCCATTTCCACTCTCCAGGCTGTTTGGGGGCTTTTCCGCAAAGCCCTGGCTCTCCACTGGGCTCTGCGCTGTCCATGGGGTATCTTGGAACTGGGGGGCCCAGGTGTCCACAGTCCTCACTCCTTTCCATGTCGGCACTTAGATGAGGCGTCCCCATAGCGGGTTCTTACTTGTTCCCCCCGAGTCTCCTGCACTTCCCCTCCAACCAGGAGCACAGCGACCCTGCCCCTCAGCCTGCCCCACCCCCTATCCTCTCCGCGCTCTAGGGGGCGTGGCCAAGCGTGCAAATCCACTATAAAGGTGGCAGTGCCCTCACCCTCACCCTGAAGGTGACAGTTCCCTGTAGCTTTCCCTGATCTTCTTGGGGTCCCTGGCTCCAGAGACCAACCTTCACAGCTCAGCTCCGCACCTCACAGCAGCAGGTGAGTTCTGGGGGCCTCTGGCTTGCCCCTTACCTCCCAATAAAAGGGAAATTCTGGTGCCTTCAGTCTTCCTAGGAAGACATTGGTCTAGCACTTCAGAAAACGAGGCCAAGAGTGTCCTCAGTGACCAGGTAGTTCAGCATCCTGGGTGGGGGTGGAAACTGAGGCCAGGGGAAAGGCAGGACTTGCCCAAGGTCCCACAGCTGGTACCAGAACTCTATATGTAGATGGCCGCCTCTCAGGACTTCAGGACCCAGGCTGCAGCTCCATTCCCCACTGACTCCCTGAATGCCTTGGGGCTTCCCCATCAGGATCACCTGAGAGGCTGGATGGAATCCGGAGAGAGCTGTGGGAAGCTGGGAGCATGTGCAGTCCCTTCATCAGGCTGTGTGATGAGGGGGGCTTCTCCCACAGTGATGAGGATGGATGGAGAGGACAGGATGGGTTACCAGCTGTACCTTGCTTTATCTAAAAGCTACCTGTGGCCGGTGGCTGGCTCTACCCTCCCAAGGAATGGCTTGTCAGAGCTGAGATGTGCTGGCTGGACAGGAGGGGCTCATGTGAGCACTGCCCAGCTATCTTAGGGCTTCCCTATCTCCTTGACTGTCTTCTCTGTCCTCTGCTTGGGGGGCAATCAGTGAGAAACAACCAGCTGCAGAGAGAGAAACCATCAGGCCCTGACAACTCACCGGTCACATCCCTTTTAGTTTCCTACTGTCTAAGGCTGGAGATCCTTGTGTTACCCAGTGTCCAGTTAGGGACATTATGGCACACCAAGCTTGTTCCCACTTTACTCAAGGAATTTACTCAGGGAATTAGAGCTGGAGGATGCTTTGGGATCTAGTTCCCCTGGGAGGCCTCCCTAGACAGATGCTAAAGTACTTGAGGTAGGAACCTTACAGCCTCCCTGTCTTGTGTGGCTGTCCTGTGGGGAAACCTCACTAGTCAGACTGTGATCCCCAGAGTGGATCTGGGATTTCTCTTCTCTGAAATTCAGCTGGGTACCCTGAATCAGGGATCATGTCCCATCCCCCTCTCTCAGCCAATGTAACCACAGCCCAGAAAGGTAAAATGATAAGTCCAAGGTCATGCCATGAAACTGGAAAAACTGTCCCCTCACCTCCAGTCCAGGACACCAGGAAGATGCTTTAGTCAGAGCCCAGTGCTACAGAGAGAGTACTCCATGAATCTGCCTTTCTAGATCACACCTAGGGAGAAAGTACTGTCTCTGCCTCTGTTTAATTCAGATCCATTCTTAATATTCCTTATTCCAGTCTGGAGTTTTCTTGCAGTCTTGGCCTAGTGGGAGCCTTCCATTTATTATGGGCTTTCTGGTGACTCGCAAATGGGGGAGGCCCAGACAATTCATTCATTTAGAATTGAGCCTCACAAAAATCCTGGCCTGGATTTCTATGACAGGGAGCCTCAATCTGCTGGATCTCCAGTTGCTTTCAAATTTTAAATCAGTTGAACTCTGAGAACTGAGGCTGAGAACAGTGTGGCTAGTGCAATGGAACTTCCAGTCCCCTGTACCCTATGGCCAAGACTGAATGAAGAATGACTAAAATTCTTGGCACACATTGGCAGCTCAACAAACATCTCCTACCACCTCCTCCCCTTCATGTCTAGTGAGGAGTTTTAGATAAAAAGGTTTCCCCTTTTCCTTGACCAGCATGCCGACACTAGGACATTGGCTCCCCCCCTCCTGAAGTCTTAATCTTTTCTTCCTGTCCACCTCTCTTCAGCCACCTGGAGATCTCTATGAAGATCATGTTTTCTGCATTTGGCCTCTCCATCCCCATCTCAGCCACAGAGCTTCTCCTGGCCTCTGCCATCTGCTGCCTGGTATTCTGGGTGGTCAGGGCCTGGCAGCCTCAGGTCCCCAAAGGCCTGAAGAGTCCCCCAGGGCCCTGGGGCTGGCCTCTGCTCGGGCACCTGCTGACCTTGGGGAAGAACCCACACCTGGCGCTGTCGAGGCTGAGCCAGCGTTACGGGGATGTGCTGCAGATCCGCATCGGCTGCACGCCCGTGGTGGTGCTCAGTGGCCTGGACACCATCCGGCAGGCCCTGGTGCGGCAAGGCGACGATTTCAAGGGCCGGCCCGACCTCTACAGCTTCACCTTGGTTACTGATGGCCAGAGCCTGACCTTCAACCCAGACTCTGGGCCGGTGTGGGCCGCCCGCCGGCGCCTGGCCCAGAATGCCTTGAAGAGCTTCTCCATTGCCTCAGACCCGGCTGCCTCATCGTCCTCCTACCTGGAGGAGCATGTGAGCAAGGAGGCCGAGTACCTCAGCAGCAAGTTCCAGGAGCTGATGGCAGAGTTTGGGCACTTTGAACCTGACAGGTATTTAGTGGTGTCAGTGGCTAATGTCATCTGTGCCATATGCTTTGGCCAACGCTACGACCATGACAACCAAGAGCTGCTTAGCATAATCAACCTGAGTAATGAGTTTGGGGAGGTGGCTGCCTCTGGGAACCCAGCTGACTTCATCCCTGTCCTCCGTTACCTGCCCAACCGTGCCCTGGATGTCTTCACGGAACTGAACGAGAAATTCTACAGCTTCATGCAGAAGATGGTCAAGGAGCACTACAAAACATTTGCGAAGGTGCAGGCGAGGGGGGGGCAGGCGGGTGGCGGGAAGCAGGTGGTACAAGGCACCAGCAGGCAGAGAGAACTGGAGCAGTGTGGGCTTTAAAGACTCTCGGGGGCCTATACACTGGGCTTCTGGAGCCAGTGGTGGAGTGGACTCCGTCCTTGGCAGGGAAGTAGAACTTTTTCTTGACCGGCCCTTCTATCCTTCCATCAGACAGTGGTATTGACTGAATAGCCAGTCTGTGCAGGACCCTAGCTAGTTGTTGGGGGGCCAAGAAGAGTTAAAGAGTTGGTCTCCTGGGCTCATGGGGAGAAAAGGCTAAAGAGCATGTCCAGATGATAATGGTGAAGACTCTGTGTCAGGTGTCCCTTGACTTGAGGCTGCCAGTATTCTGAGGCTAGAGAGAATATTTGAGGCCAGTATTCTGTGGAGAGGCAAGAGAGGTTGGAATGGCAGTCTTGGAGGCAGGGGGATTACCTCTGAGCAGGGATGCTAGGGATGGTGAGGGACCAGGCCTGGACAGAGAGGTAGGTCTGGGTTTGGGCTTTTGCTCACCTATAGGCCTTTCCTAGGGCCACATCCGGGATATCACAGACAGCCTGATTGAGCACTGTCAGGACAAAAGGCTGGACGAGAATGCCAATATCCAACTGTCGGATGAGAAGGTCGTTAATGTTGTCATGGACCTCTTTGGAGCTGGTATGAGCCCTGATATATGCCCTTCCCATGCCCACCTGCCCTGACCCACCAACCACCTAACTTCTCGCTCTGTTTTTCCCTGGCCAGGGTTTGACACAGTCACGACCGCCATCTCCTGGAGCCTCCTGTACCTGGTGACAAACCCCAGCATGCAGAAGAAGATCCAGGCAGAGCTGGGTAGGCGGTGGCTTTGGCAAAGTGCTCAGGGCAGGGCTCTGGCCAGGGTCTGGGCTGCCCAATCATCCGTCTGGCCATTTGTGTTCTGCAGATGCAGTGATTGGCAGGGAGCGGCGGCCCCGGCTCTCAGACAGACCCCAGCTGCCCTATCTGGAGGCCTTCATCCTAGAGACCTTCCGACACTCCTCCTTTGTACCCCTGACCATCCCCCACAGGTGAGGACCTCTGGATGCACTGCTCTCTGATATTTGGCCTTGTTTCAATGCATGTGCCTGATCAGGGTTGCTGGGAGGGAGATGGCATGGGAGGCAGGGGATCTCCTTGTGGCCCCAAGGCTGACTGAGCTTCCTCCCTCCCCAGTACCACAAGAGACACAAATCTGAGTGGCTTTTACATCCCCAAGGGGCGTTGCATCTTTGTGAACCAGTGGCAGATCAACCATGACCAGTAAGTTGAGAAGGGAAGGCTACCCTCTACCCCCTCCCGAGCTCCAGAGCCTGCTGTCCCTGGGCCACTTGCCCATCCCCTACTTTTCTGGACTGGGGTACAACTCACTTGATGCTTCTGAACCCCAAGCTGCTCCTTCAGCTGCCTCTCTCTGATCACAGGAAGCTGTGGGGCAACCCATCTGAGTTCTGCCCAGAACGGTTTCTCACTGCTAACGGCACCGTCAACAAGGCGCTGAGCGAGAAGGTGATTCTCTTTGGCTTGGGCAAGCGGAAATGCATTGGTGAGACCATTGCCCGCTTGCAGGTCTTTCTCTTCCTGGCTATCCTGCTGCAGCAGGTAGAGTTCAGCGTGCCGTCGGGTGTGAAGGTGGACATGACCCCCATCTACGGGCTGAGCATGAAGCATGCCCGCTGCGAGCACTTCCAGGTGCAGGTGCGCTCTTAGGAGGCGGAAAGCCCGGCAGCCTAGATGGTCTGCCTGGCCTGTCCGGGCAGCCAGCCAGCCAGGGGCATCTAAGCTTCGGACTGAAACCCACAGATACTGGTCTGGCTGATTTTTGTATTTGGGCTATGGGCAAGCCCGAAGCATCATGCCTGCCCCCAACTCTGGACTTGTCCCTCTGCATACTGACCACAGACAGTGGACATAGCAGGGGCCACACAGGAGCTGTGGAGCCTTCTGGAGTTGTGCTTGAGCTAGGAGGCCGGTAAGGTCAGGAGGTCTTCATGCCTGTAGACACCTCTGAGGAGCTCCCCGGAAGCCCCTGAACCCAGCCGTTGGCTGGCTCTCTGTGGAGGCTGGCTGGCTTGAGAAACATCTGAACAGGTCCCGGCAGGGCCTGTCCAATCTCTTTGACAAATGGGAGCCATCAGGGGTGAAGGGAAGAGGCCGCTCAGGATACTGGCACAGAGGTAGTCTCCCTGCTTGAACAGGTGTTCCCTGACCACAGGGGTCTGAGACTGTGTGCCTGGGGGAATTGCCTTCCGCTGCCCTCCCTCAGGGCGGGAGCATGGCTTCTTCCTGTTCCCTTCCTGGAGGGCTGGGGACTTGCATCAAAGAGGAGCAGAGAGCAGAAGGAGTGCCCAAATCCAGGCACCAGGACCAGGTCAGGAGGGAGAGGACTGGTCCGCGTTGTCTATGCCCTGTGTATTAAAATGTCTTTTTAAAATGTATGTACACAAAGAGGTTTTTATTTTAGCCTGCATTTTACTTGAGTGTTTGCATTTATCATAAATAAGAGCTTAAGAACACATACTGAGTGCAAGAAAGTCTAACCCCAAGTATCCAACAACGTGTAAGAAACACTTACCTAAGCTAAATAAAGATATTATCCAGAAGTCCTACAGGTGATTTTTTGAACCTTGAATGAAGCCATCACTCATCCACACACCTACTCTGAGCCCAAGTTCTTGTCGGGTGTTACTGTCGGAGGAGGCAGGGGAAGAGGAGGTGGAGAAGAGGGGACGCCACTGTTCTTGGGAAGCTCGCAGTGTGACTGGGGCACAAGACTCCACTGCTTCACTGCCTTTTCCTTCTCTAACTGATCACATACTGATGAAGGACACTGAAGGTATAAGGTGAATAAAACACAGTCCCAACCTCCAAGATCCTTCCAAGCTGGTTGGGGGAATCGGCTCACGAACACATCATCCAATTCATTGTGATCAGGGCTCTACCAGACAGATGCACACAGTAGAGAGGCCCAGAGCCAGTGGGGGCTGTGTGGGTGTGGAAGTGGGGGCTGGGAAAGGTTACCAGGTCTTAGGAGTATCTGCACAGAGCCCTCCTTGATGGCTGAGAAGTGGTCTCTCTTGGATCACACAGCATTAGATGCTCAAGTCCAAGAAGGTAGACTGTGGTCACACTGGCAGGGTAGGAGAGAGGTTCTCAGCTCAGAAGTTGTGGTCTGCTCCTCACTGTCATGCCTGATTCAGGTCCTGCAGCCATATTCGAACCCAAAGCTGGTCACAGAAGGAGAGCAAGGACTATGATTGTTGAGCCCCATAACCATAAGCAGACTGGGGCTTAGATTTCAACACTGAAAGCCCCTGTCTATCTAGGATGGCAGAGTAGTGGTACCAAGCGGGGACAGAGGCTGGACCCATATAGCCAGGAGCTATTCTAAGGTACTGAGGGGAAACACATCTTGGGATGTGACCACCAACCTAGCTTTCTTCCTGAAGCTTTATGCAGTGGCCAGCAGCTGCCATTCATGCTCTGTGCTTTCTGGCAGGGGTAAGTAGCTCTGGCTCCCCAAGGGTTTCAGGCCACTGCAAGGAAAGAGCTGAAGTCAACTGGAGCGGCCCTGTTTGCATAGGGGGATGAGGAATTTGGTGCTTAGTCATTCTAGCACTGAATTTTTTTTTCACTTAAAAAATAACTTGTAGTAAATGCTATAACATAGGTGAGCCTCTAAATTATCATGCTAAATGAAAGAAGCCAGACACAAGAGGCCACATACTGTATGATTCCATTTATGTGAAGTGTCTAGAATATGCAACTCCATAGAGGCAGAAAGTACATTAGTGGGTTCTGGGGGATGGGGGTGAGGGGAATGGGAGGTGCAGTGTTTCTTTTAGGGGTGATGGGAATATTTTAGAATTAGATAGCTGTATGACTTTGTAAATATACTAAAGAATCACTGAATTATGCCATTTAAAATGGTTAAAACAGTAAGAAAAGAAGCTTGCTAACATCCATTCTAAAAAAAGAGTGAGGGAAGAATGGGGACAGCATATGTAAAACAATTTAGGTAACTGTTCTCAGTACCTATATATTAGTAATGGTAATATTAGTATTGCTATTTTGAGACTATAGTATAACATGGGCTATAACAATGAGCAATTAATATATATTCTAATTCACCATCTTTTGTATCCTTGATGACCAGGATTTTTGGTATGAAAGAAAGGAGCTACAGATGTAATATAGAAAAGGTTAAGTTAAAAAAATATGCATTATCATATCTAATATATAATTATGAATATATGTTTCTAAGTGTTAAAAACAATGGCCAGCTCATAGGAATGAACATCCCTAATGCGTGGACTACTAGCCAGGACAGGACCTGGGGCAGGAAATGTAAAAGATGAGCCTGGGACACTTGCTCGTACCAGAGGGCCAAGAAGCCATAAAAACTACCAGGAGTGGATCAAGCCATCCAGAAGCCAACTGAAGAAGCTCCAACAGGCCACAGACAGGACAATTTGAGTGTCAGTAATAATAACCGCCGTTGCTTAAAACCCATCAAATATGTTTGAACCCATGACTTCATATATACATATTTTTAAATGAGCTGATCACTTTCAGAGGAAAACCAGTGCATTATATTGAAAAGTGAAAAACAAAGGCAAGGAATTAGGTGTTTACCTACCTTTCCTGTATGAACTGTATCTACAGATAATTCAATAGTAGACAAGAAGAAGCGTCTCTTCATAAAAGTGGTTCAATTAATAAACCAAAGAGAAATAAGAGAATTCAAATGTGATGATTTTGCAGTCACCAATAAATTAATGGATCTGGGCACTGTGCCCAGCAACTGCTAGCATCATAAAAAGAGAGGAAACTAGACTGTGCCTCCTGATGAAAGGACCCAGCCCTGCCTATGGTATTGCCAAAGGGAATGAACCAGAATCTGACTGAGCCTCTGGAGCCAGCTGCCAGTTTGCGACAAAGACAGAGGCTGAAGAAACATGCTGAATGGAGATGTAAGGGTACAATCAGTAAAATTCAGACTTTGGGAAACTCTGCAAGTCAGAAGACCTGGGATCTTCAACAGAAAGACTGTAAAGAAAAGAAAGAGATAGGAAACTTGTAGATTTAAAAAGACTGAAAAGATGTATCAACCTTAAAAAACTAAAAATAGAAATATCATTTGACCCAGGAATTCCACTCCTAGGAATTTACCCAAAGAAAACAAAGTCCCAGATTCAAAAAGGCATATGCACCCCTATGTTTATCACAGCACTATTTATAATAGCCAAGATATGGAAGCCACCTAAGTGTCCATCAGTAGATGAATGGATAAAGAAGATGTGGTACATATACACAATGGAATACTATTCAGCCATAAGAAGAAAACAAATCCTACCATTTGCAACAACATGGATGGAGCTGGAGGGTATTATGCTCAGTGAAAGAAGCCAGGCGGAGAATGATGATTTCACTCATTTGTGGAGCATAAGAACAAAGCAAAACCTGAAGGAACAAAATAGAAGCAGACTTACAGACTCCATGAAGAGACTAGCAGTTACCAAAGGGAAGGGGTTGGGGAGGGCAGGTGGGGAGCGAGGAAGAAGGGGATTAAGGGGCATTATGATTAACATACATAATGTAGGTGGATCACGGAGAAGGCAGTATAGCACAGAGAAGACAAGTAGTGACTCTACAGCATCTTACTACACTGATATCAGGACAGTGACTGCAATGGTGTGGGGGGGGGATTTGATAATATGGGTGAATGTTGGAACCACAATGTTGCTCATGTGAAGCCTTCATAGGATGGTTTATCAATGATACCTTAAAAATATATCAAATTTTAAGAAATGAACAACACTAAACTACAGTGTCTAAGAATACACACTTGGTGCTAAATCTTGTAAGAACAAGGAAACGATTACTGTAAGAGTCTCGAGAGTGGTTACTTTTTTGAAATTTTATTTAATTTTATTACTTTTTATTAAGGTATTATTGATATACACTCTTATGAAGGTTTCACATGAAAAAACAATGTGGTTACTACATTCACCCCTGTTATCGTGTCCTCCCCATACCCCTTTGCAGTCACTGCCCATCAGTGTAGTAAGATGCCAGAATCATGATTTGCCTTCTCTGTGCTACACTGTCTTCCCCCTGATCTCCCCCATATCATGTGTGCCAATCATAATACCCCTATATCCCCTTCTCTCTCTCTCCCCACCCACCCTCCCCAGCCCCTCCCCTTTGGTAACCGCTAGTCCCTTCTTGAAGTCTGTGAGTCTGTTGCTGTTTTGTTCTTTCAGATTTGCTTTGTTGTTATACTTCACAAATGAAGGATATCATTTGGTACTTGTCTTTCTCTGCCTGGCTTATTTCACTGAACATAATACCCTCCAGCCCCATCCATGTTGTTGCAAATGGTAGAATTTGTTTCTTTCTTATGGCTGAGTAGTATTACATTGTGTGTATGTACCACCTGCTCTTTATCCATTCATCTACTGACGGACCCTTAGGTTGCTTCCATATCTTGGCTATTGTAAATAGTGCTGCAATAAACATAGGGGTGCATATGTCTTTTTGAATCTGAGAAATTATATTCTTTGGGTGAATTCCTAGGAGTAGAATTGCCAGGTCAAATGAATGGTATTTCTATTTTTAGTTTTTTGAGGAACCTCCATATTGCTTTCCACAATGGTTGAATTAGCTTACATTCTCACTAGCAGTAAGATGTAATATAGAAAAGGTTAAGTTAAAAAAATATGCATTATCATATCTAATATATAATTATGAATATATGTTTCTAAGTGTTAAAAACAATGGCCAGCTCATAGGAATGAACATCCCTAATGCGTGGACTACTAGCCAGGACAGGACCTGGGGCAGGAAATGTAAAAGATGAGCCTGGGACACTTGCTCGTACCAGAGAGCCAAGAAGCCATAAAAACTACCAGGAGTGGATCAAGCCATCCAGAAGCCAACTGAAGAAGCTCCAACAGGCCACAGACAGGACAATTTGAGTGTCAGTAATAATAACCGCCGTTGCTTAAAACCCATCAAATATGTTTGAACCCATGACTTCATATATACATATTTTTAAATGAGCTGATCACTTTCAGAGGAAAACCAGTGCATTATATTGAAAAGTGAAAAACAAAGGCAAGGAATTAGGTGTTTACCTACCTTTCCTGTATGAACTGTATCTACAGATAATTCAATAGTAGACAAGAAGAAGCGTCTCTTCATAAAAGTGGTTCAATTAATAAACCAAAGAGAAATAAGAGAATTCAAATGTGATGATTTTGCAGTCACCAATAAATTAATGGATCTGGGCACTGTGCCCAGCAACTGCTAGCATCATAAAAAGAGAGGAAACTAGACTGTGCCTCCTGATGAAAGGACCCAGCCCTGCCTATGGTATTGCCAAAGGGAATGAACCAGAATCTGACTGAGCCTCTGGAGCCAGCTGCCAGTTTGCGACAAAGACAGAGGCTGAAGAAACATGCTGAATGGAGATGTAAGGGTACAATCAGTAAAATTCAGACTTTGGGAAACTCTGCAAGTCAGAAGACCTGGGATCTTCAACAGAAAGACTGTAAAGAAAAGAAAGAGATAGGAAACTTGTAGATTTAAAAAGACTGAA